TATGTTATTTGAATTGAAACATTTATTTTGTTTTGCATGCAATTGTTGTTCCTTAATACCCAGTTATTGTTGCTGCTGTTGATGTTGCTGTTGCTGTTGTTGCTGTTGCTGCCAGGTAAAACGCAGCAGCAACAGCTTTGGTAAAAGCAGTTTAAAGGCTTATGCGACCGATTTCAATGCAACATTTGACAAATGCAGCTTAAGCTGCTTTTTTCCATACCCTTCCAAAAGGTTGGCACATTATACATTTCTGGTACGCTTGTCTGGCTAGTCCATGAAAAGTCAGTGTTGCTTCAAAATGTTGTTTGCTTTTTATAATAATATTAATAAACATTTCTTCTTTCTCTTGAAATAATTCTATTGAATATCTCTCTAAAATATTTCATATTTATATTTTATACAAGAAATTTCGCTTAAATAGAGTATTCAAACTTCGGCACTGCGAATAAACGCTTCCTTTTCTCTGCACAAAGCCAAATGCCAAACACATAGAATATAAAATGTTTCATTTGTTTTATGCATTCCATTCAAATGCATGAATTTTAAAAATGCTTTTAAATATTCATAAACTAATTTAAAGCCCTCAAAATGGAAATGGGCTAAATCAATTTCCAAAATATATTCAATATTCTGCAAGCGCAATAAATTAATGCGAATATTACGTATTATTTCGCTTGGAACTGACCCCCAATTTTTCGCCCCAGTTGAGCTGGAAATCTGCGATCATTTAATTGTCAACTTTAATCGAACAATATTTAATTTCTGCTGCTGCGCTTTGTAATTAACTAAAATGTTAATTTTAATACGCTATTTAAAATCAGTGCTGAGTATTACGCATACGCCCCGGTTAACCACACTTGAAGCGTTAATGAACAGCGAGAAATGAGTGCAATTACAGCAGGAGCAGGCATCACCCAGCAATGAATGCCCGACTAGGCTATACCCTGTAAGCAGTTGTATACATTTAATGCAAGGCTCGACTAGCTAATAACCTGTTATTGGATGTAAGCATATGTTATAGACATATCACAAAGGCATGCATAGGTATTGAGTGCTCGACTATGAAATACCCTGTAATCAGACAGATCAAGCAGATGTGCTTAGAATCATAATAACCTGTTATTGGATGTAAGCATATGTTACAGACATATCAGAAAGAAGGCATGCATAGGTATTGAGTGCTCGACTATGAAATACTCTGTAATCAGACAGATCAAGCAGATGTGCAGTCACAATTACAGCAACTATAAGGAATTCAGCAATGAGTGTTTGACTGGAAAATACCCTGTATTTTTTTATATACATATTTTTTTATAGACAACATTGAATAGATGTGGTGGGATTACCTAGCCACAATTAAGGCAACAGGTAACACTTTAGTAAGGAGTGCTCGACTGGCTAATACCCTGTAACCAGATTAATACATATTAGATAGGCATATATTAAAAAATGCGACTAGACTTGCTTTTATCTTGCCCTAATTATGGCTACTATAAGTACTCCAGTAAAGAGTGATCGACTAAGCGATACCCTATAGACACATTCGAACAGACTCAGCCTCATTTTGACACATCATGAATTTATCGACTCTTATCCTAACTACCCCACATATCAAAGCTATAGGGTATGCAGATTATTAAAAAATGTTTTACCAGCTTTGCAATTAAGTGCAACAGCAACAACAAGTGCAACAACTGCAACAACTGAAGCAAGGACCGCAATGAGAGCAATATGCAAATAATGCATTATGTAAACATCGAGATACATTTTACGAGTGGCTGCCGACACGGTCGTCGTCGCGGTGCGGGGCAGGACAGGAAACAAAAGCGCCACGGCGTCATCCGCAGACATGTGTAAATATGTGTGTCACTTTTTGTGGCCAGAAGTGGAACCGAGGGGGCGGGGAGGGGGGAAGAGGGAACAACCACTGAGCGCCTTGTCAAGCGAATGGCTCAGCGCCAATTTCACCTGTCGTAAAAGGCGACTCGTGCCGCGTGCTGTATTTTTTTTCTTTTTGTGTTATTCACACACACACACACACCCGCACACACACACTTGTTATTGTTTTTGTTGCAGCTGTTTTGCTTTGTGCCGTCAGCTGCTGCTGCTGTCTGTTTATTTTGCTATTTACAATGTTTTTTTCTTTTTTTTTTGGTTTTCATTCTCAATCATTTTATTCAAGTTGATTTTTATGGCGCTTCGCATTGTTTATCATTTTACTTACAGCATGCAACGAAATTCAACAAACAATTATGTGTTAATTATGAACGCAATTTCGCGCGTTTTTACGAATAAAATTCACATCTAGCAAGTGGCAAGTGGCAAGTGGCAGCGAAGCGAACAGCAATTTGTCAGCCAAATTGAGGCAACAATATGACAAATGATGTGGCGAAATGTTTCAAGTTAAGTTCTATAAATAAGTTGAAACAAACAAGAAAGAAAAGCTAAAGCAAGTCGAAGACTAAATACGCTTCGAAGCAGATGGAAGAGAAACAATTTGTAGCCGAAATGATGCTTACAGTTGAGTAAAATAATAGATAATAGATAATAATTATATCTAATAGTCCGATTAGACATATTCTTGTTATGTGAAGAGAATATTAAAGCTGGCCACAGCTGAGTTTGGTCACGATATCTTGAAGATTTGATTGTTCTAAGGAGATATAGATAGTTCCATATTGCCAAGATCTGATTCAGGCGTAAATTAGTAAATCAATCGATTAGGAAAACAAGTCAGAATATATTCAGCAAGCAGAAACTTCAATACCCTTATTAGACTTTAGCCTTATTGCTCTGCAGAAGTGTGAGAAAAGCGAAGCTGAACTTAATGAAAATAACTTGGCAAACAGAATAGTTTGCCCAACAAACACTTATTTGTCGAACATTCTAATGCGATCCTGATAGGATTTGACTCAATATATATAAAGATTATAAGACTAATGAAAGCAGAGTTTGCTCAAGATATCCCTTTTTTCATACAAGAATCAATTGCTTCGACGTTACACATTTTCCATACAAGAATTTAATATTCGACAAATTTTTATATATTTTTCCTACAAGAACCTACAACTCATCCTATCTTTCGTATATCAGCTATAAAATATAGCGATCCGATTAGGCCAATTCCGACATAATATCTGCCTGGAACAGATATACGAATGTTCTTTTCGGCTAGCTTCTCAGCAGGACTAGTTCGCATAGACAGAAGGAAAGCTGGATAAATGGAACTTGTCTCTAGCGAGTTGATATACCTCACATATCTTTCCATTTGTGATTTACAGACATGCCAAGGCAATCATAATGCCCGTCTAGAGTCTGTTAGGGTATACAAATTCAGCTACTTGTGGGGCAAGCATATGACATATGAGTTCTTGTTGAATTCTTAACTTAATGAATATTAAATAATTCCTAATGAGCAGCATTTTTGGCAGACAATACAAAGCTCCACATTAAACAGAGAGCAGAAGAAATTTGTGTGTGGGAGTAAAAAACAACAAGACGCTAGCGAGTCGCACGCGTTTCGCGCGCGTCTTTAGGCTGTCAAGTATGCCCCCCCCCCCCCCCCCCACCACACCCCCTTTATTTGCTTGGGGCCTAATTAAATTTGTACTTTGCAATTAGGCAAAGGTGTAGCTAAAAGATCTGAAAAAAGGAAACGAAAATGAAATTTGAACGAAATGCGCCACAAAATGCAATTAAAAGCTGACAAAACAAAAGCTATGCAAAAAGCGCAAATTAAATGCAACAAATTGTTGCAATTGCTGCGGTTGCCACTGCTCCTTGTTGTTGTTGCTGTTGTTGTTGTTGCTGTTGCTGTTGTTGTTGTTGCTGGTTTCAATTAGTCAGCCGCATTGGCCGAACGGCGCGGAGTAGCCGGGCCAACTGGATAAACAATTGGACAACTGGTTCAGAAATCAACGTTGCCCCTTTAACAAAATTCTGTAAATATTTATCATATGTTGTTGTAGCTCTCATTGTTGTTGTTGTTGTTGCTGTTACAGTGCCAATTGCTGTGGCTGTGGCTGTTGCTGTTGCTGTTGTTGTTGCTGGCAAAGCCCAAACACAACACAAACGGTATTAGCCAGGGTCAGTGCGTATGCACGGCTATTTACCTACACATCCATCTGCAACACAAAGGTAGCATGCACTGAGCGAAATTAATGGAACTGTTTGGCAATCATGATTGATTGATTGACTGACTTACTGACTGATGAATGTAAGCTCGCTGCAGTAGCTATAATTGAATTATATTTTTATCATTTTTGTTGTAATTTTTTCACTCATAAGCGTGGGAATTTGGTGGAAAAGAGTTGTAAAGTTGAAAAATGGCAAGAGTGGGTGCTCTGGTCGGGTATGCACGACTAAGACATACCCTGTAGCCAAGGCTAAGCTGCCTTTGCAAACATATTCTCTCACTCAAAATCTATATTTATCAATAATTAGAAAAAAGTGACAAAATATCGATGAAAGAATAACAGCTCGTTCCGCTTTTCTTTTAAACAAAGTTTTCGAGATCTTCACGTTCAGACCAACGAATAGTTATGTTTTGATCAACTCAGTCAGGCGATCTGATCAGGCATATATATATACTATATGCCAACTGCCTGTCACATACATTTGCCTGAAATCTTTACAGTTTTTAGTTCAATGCCATGATAAGTATAATGATTCATAGTAGACATTCCTTTCTCGCAGTGTAAATATTGAAACTGTGTGTGCGTGTGTGTGTGTGTGTTTGTTGGTTTGTTTGTGTGTGTCTATCTGGTTGACCAGTCGGGCTATAAAGCGATCCAATTTGTGGCCCATTTCATGGCAGCCAGCTCGTGTGTGTGTGTGTGTGTGTGTGTGCGTCTGACTTATCTGCTCCGCGTATTTATAACAATGTCTAATGACATCACTTCGGCAACAACAATAACAATAGCTATAGCTATAGCTACAGATATAGCTACAGATATAGCTATAGCTATAGCTATATAAATGGGCGCAATGCCAAAACTTACCTCATTATCAATGCCGCCTCGGGCTCTTATCAGCGGCGCGTTTCGGTTTCTGTTTCGGTTTCTGTTGCTGTCGCGCAGTGCTTGGAGCTCCTTCTGGTGCTGTTGCTGCTTCAGATGATGCTCGTGCTCGATCTTGTTCCACTGCTCGTTGGAGAAGGCCGCCTCCTCCGCGGAGGCGTGGTCGGCGCTCTGCGCCTGCGGCTTTTCCGTTAAGGTCTTCGGCTTGAGCTTGGGCTTGAAGAGCCAGTCGAATATGTTGCGCTTGGCGGCAGCCTTGGTGTGGCTGGCGGCCACATTGGGATGCCTGTTTGTGGCCAGCGCCGGTTCGTCCTGATCGTAGGCATCGTAGTCCTGCTCCGTGGAGCTAATCTGGGGCAGCTTCTGGCTGAAGAAAGAGTAGCGCGGCATTTGCTTGGCCAGCTCGGCGGCAAAGCTGTCATCCGCCACGGGCTCATCATCCTTATAGTCCTCCTCCTCATCATTATCATCATCATCGTCGTCGTCCTCATCCTCATCCTCGCTGTCATCCTCAATCTCCTGCTGCCAATTGGGCGCACGCGTCGAGCGCGGCTGCGTCCAGGCCGGATATATGCCATCGCGATCAAAGTAGCGCGTGGACACAGTGCCATTGCCTCCCAGAGCCTGAGGCAGTGGGGCATCCGTCACCAAGGCAGCAGCCGCTGGCGCAGCTGTGGTCAGGCCCAGGCGATGCTGGCGCTGGTGCAGCTCCGGAAAGACGCGCTGCTCCCAGGCGGCATGATGGCGATTGTGATGCCGCAAATGATGCTGCTCGCCCGGCCCGTGCCCCAACATGGCCAGCTGCTCCAGCTCCAGCTGCATGGTCTTTGGCGGCGACGGCGGCGGCTGCCTGTTCTCATTGCCCGCCAGCTCGGCGCGCAGATGCTGCTCGTGCCGCAAATGATGATGATGCCCGCCGTTGTCCAGCCTGTTGTCCGCCTGCGCCCACTGCAGCTGCTGCAGGCGCTGCTGCTGTTGATGGCGGCGGGAATTAGCCGGCGGAGGCGCGCTGGTGGTGCCATTGTGGGCGTGGCGATGCGCATGCTCCTCGGTATAGCCGAGATCGGCGAGGAGGAGCAGCAGCAGCAGCATCAGCGGAAAGAAGCCCTTGCTGCCCATTGCCACGAGCTGATCTCTCAATCTATCTGCAGCTATAAATGTATCTGTAACTGCAGCTATAGACGTATCTGTATCTGCCGCTCTAGCTGTATCTGTATCTGCAGCTATAGATGTATCTGTATCTTTATCTGCGTCTGCTCTTTGGACCTTTCCTTCTGTTTCTCTTTTTTTTATTGTTCGTCGCCTGTTTTTCGCTTTGTTGTCGCACGTTCTATAAAACTCGCACTCGCATTTGTTTAAAGCATTTTCTTTTGTTAATTCACTTTTTCACATAAATCATTGCGTTGAATCGAATTGCGTTTTACATTGCTGGAAAAATATTTTTATTGCCGCAATTGAAATTCTTTTCGCTAATTAATTGCCTTTTTTGACAAATTATTTATCGAGTTTTCAACACTTTTTTGCTTGATTTGAATATTTAAATGTTGCTTTATTTTATTTTAAAATTATTTACTTTTACTTTTTTATATTATTCGATATTTGTTTTTTTTTTAAATTTTATTTTAATTTTTTTTATTTTAAAATTTGTTTTAAAAATTTTTTATTGTTTTCACTTTTTTATATATTATTTAAATGGAATTGTTTATATGCAAATATTTTTTGTTTATTTTTCGTTTATTGAATATTTATTCAAAATTTCCACAGAATTTGTCGAAAATATTTTTAAAATTTTTTTGACTGTTTTTTTTTATTTTTTTTTCAATTTTATAGCCCGAAACTTCACTCTTCAACTTTTTGGTATTTTTAGATTTTTAATTGTGTTTTATTTTTATTTAAAAACAAGTTTTTTAAATTTGAAACATTTTAAATATTTGACATTAATTTTTGTTTTAGTGAATTTTAAGTTTAATATTTTTATTTATTTATTAATAGTTTATTTCTCAGAAATTTTGCAGTCAAATTTCTTTTATTTTTATTTAAAAATCGCGCGCGACTTTTACCGTTTGTGAATATCGCACGCACATACTCTCACAAACTCAAAGAAATACGCACAAATTATAGATATATGTGTTATTATTTTATTGCACTCGGTATTTGTTTTGTTTACCTCATAAAAGTTGGAATTCCGAAGAGACTTTGTCTAAGTAGATGCGTGGGGCATGCGTTTAATCCGCACATGTGACGACACGAAGCGACTTACAGATAACAACTGAATCTGACGGCAGCAACAAAATCTGAACTGATGCGCCGCAATGTTGAGAGCACAACATGTATACACTGAAAGAAATTTAATTTAGCAATTAAATGGGAACAGCTAGTGAGTGTCGCAAGAGTTGTTGGTATTTAAACAAAAGAAACTTCAACTCAGCTTAAGCTAGTTGCATTTTTATTTAATATTTAATAATTTATTATATTTAAGTACTTTATGCACAAAAATGTTTTTTTCGCCTTGTAACTGAGCGCGCAACATGTCCAGACGCTTACACAAGCAACATGTTGCAAGAGAGCGCAGCAGGCAGCGCATGCAACATACATGTTGGCTGCAACACGTTCGCCTAGACGCTTACATGTCGAACATGTTGCAATGCAGCTGCTGGACGAACATGTTGGCACTGACATTGCCGGCTTTTGTTTTGCCTTTGCCAGACAATTTGATCGCCTTTCGCTTGTTGTTGCGCGCAATTGGCAACAAATATACATATATATATATATATATATATATATGTATATAGATATACGTATGTGATTGATGTCGAGGCACGGCTGCAATTGTGTGCCAGAAGTGGCAGCAGCAACGCCCACGTGTTGCATGGTAGAACCCAAACAGAGCAGCGCTTCCTGCCCCGCCATGTGGCTGCCACCACTTGATCTCAGACGTGGGCAGCACAGATCCAAAGATACACTACACAAAATCAAAAAAACATAGCCAAATTACATAATCCAAGCGGGCAATGTGCGGCGGCAATCATTCAAATGTTGCCCAAGAACCTGCGCCTAACCACAGACAACATTGCGTATCTCTTCTCTTTGCCTTTTTTTTTGGGCCGGGTGTCATTTCAATGAAACTGGAACTGAATCTGGCCAGCATCTAGCTGATGCGACCACCGTCAACGGTAGCCGAACAAATTTTCCAACTAATTGCCATTAAACCTCAGGCAATGAGTCAGAGTTTTTTTAGAGCTCCCTCCCCATATAAAGTATACCCTGTGAAAATGGTTAAAAGAGAGTATGACGGCTCTGTCGAAATGTACGCAAGCAGGAGACGATAACGCCTCTAAGATCAACTCTTGGATTATAGATATCTATAGAAAGAGATATATCGTACGCGGAACTAAATAATGGGCAACATTTTCCTTATGCTCTCGTTATGGATGTCTTCCCTCATTCCCCAGAATTAAAAGCTTCAATTTCTGCTATATAGAAACACAATTAGATGCCTGGAACATAAAGTTCAGACACTAAACAAAGGTCACTTCTCATAAGATGAATCAAAGGGTTTCTCTCTCTCTCTCCCTAAACTACTTCTTCATTTTGGCTACAGGGTATTTTCTAGTCAGTTTATCTCGCATACTTGTTGTTCTCTCCCTTTTCATTTTATGGGACCTACAGGAAGCGCGAATGCATCTTAGCAAGTCCATAAAAATCGAAGCGTAGTCGCAGTTCGTAAGTATGATCAATGATAAAAGGGTTGCCACAATAAAAAATCCGAAGACGCGGCGGAATTTTATGGGTCAGACCGAGGCACGAAGGAATAAATTGATTTTCCTGCGAAGCGTGCAAATAGGATTTGTCAGGCGATCAAATAATTCCAACTAAACGCCTGGGTAGACATTATAACGAGGCATGTTACAGCCATGTCTATGATATGGCTGATGTATATATATCTATATATAAATATCTGCCTAGGCCCCATTGTTCTCAGTTCTTGGTTTTCCCTTTGGCCTGTTGCATGTGGCAAACGCTGTTTGCTGCTTGTAAGCTCAAAGGCAAACAAGTTGCCTCGCAGATAGCGGCAGATGAATTAGAGCGCGGCAAGGGGCCAGAGGGAACAACAAGGGTGGTGGGGGGGATAGTAAAGCCATGGGCCAGGGCCATAAAACGTATATTATGTGTTGAATTTAACGCTTAATTTGAGACGCTGCACGGCTTAAATGAGACAACAAATGGCCCAAATGACAGACAACAAGGCAATTCGACATTCGGAATGATGTACGCAAATAATTGAGTTAAATATCGTATCTCCAAAAAGCTTCAACTGCAGCAAAAGGTTAAAAGCCTGGAAACTATGAAATAATTGCGCTCATGTCGAGCTCTGCAATATATACAAATAATAATTTGCATTTCTTGTTTCCTTAATTCATTTCATCACCTCAATGCACAGATCTGTTCACAGACAAAAAAGGGCCCTGTTGGCTGATTCCTCAAGTTAAGCAGGTCACAAAACCGGCCCTAGAACCGGTTGAGAATTTTACTCAAACAGTGCAAATCACAAAAAACAAAAACTCCTTTGCCACCGTTTTGCGTCAATGATGTCATGGAAATTCAATAATATGCGGTTTGTTCTTGAGTAAAATGTTGAATTATTATAATGGTAAGCATATCTGATGAATTGTGGATATATTGAATGCATTATCAATTAAAGCAGAACATATAAGTACCCAACACAGCCAAGATATCTAGATCTAGACTTGCATATATAAAGTTTCTATCAAAAAGATTTAACTTGTCATCAAGCTGACAAGGTTCTTAATGAAACAGTAGTATAGGTTTTAAGTATTTTGTAAAAATCGCAGCTGGTATTCTATAACAAAAGCTGCCCCAACCTTTATGAATAGCATAAGAAATCAAGCAAACACATTATGCTCTAACTACTTTTAACTTTATTAAACTCTTCTACTTATCTTCTCTATGGGAACTTGCAATTTGTGAATGCAAAAACAGCAGCTGGAAGTGTCATCAAGTATTCAAATTGGCCAAGTGGCAGCCCTCTTGCCATATGCCAACTAATTGGCAACGTTTACAACTCTTCAACGACTCTCAGCCAAATAGTGCACTCTAGCCGCTCCTTCCCCACCTTTCCAAACTACCGAACGCTCGAGACTTTGCGGCAATTAAATAATCATAGCGCACTTTATGCTACACTTGGCAAAGCCAAAATTCCCATCAACCATGTGGCAACACTTGAGCAAGGCGTGGCAAACGGTGCGAAGAGGGGCAACGCCAGCCGCGAGCAGCTAATGAAATCATTGCCTCTGCTCGATTGGGCGTTAAAAGTAATCAACGTGCTAATTAAGTTGACTAAAACTTCTCAAACAGTTTGCCCAGCTAGCTTTACGGCTGGGTGGCAACTCTCAGCGAGAGTGTGAGAGAGAGAGAGAGAGTGAGAGAGTGAGAGAGTGAGGGAAAGAGAGGGCGAGCGAGTTTTGTAATAAAAACGAAAAGTAAACTTTTTGACAACTTTTTCATGTGTTTAAACTATTTAAAAAGTGTCACGCCCTCAAACGACAAGCCCCCAAAAACAAAATAAATAAATATCTACACACACACACACACACACACACACACACAGACAGCAAAGTTTCTGGAACAACAACAAGATTTTAATTGCTTTAATGAGTCGAATGATATATCAGCAGCTAGGTAAATAAATATTTGAGCTGACATTTAACACACACCAATTCGCAAATTAAACAAAATAGATAATAATAAAAAAGACATAGAGAACTCTGGACTGTTGGGTTGTCGACGATTAAATACCCTAGCATAAGAAACAGATGAAAGAGATTTGATAAAGGAATACATAATGCATAAAACGTATAAGTACAGGGTAGAACAGAGTCTGTATACTAAATGTATGTGCTTAAATAATTTTCTTAAGAAAAAAGCTTTTACATACTCTGTCTTTCTCTATCTCTATCATTCTTTATTTCTCCATCTGGCAACACCTTTTGCCCTCCCTCTCTCTCTCTCTCTCCCCCTCTCTCTCTCTCTCACTTCCTCTCTATCTATCTCTCTATCTCTCTCTCTCTCTCTCTCTCTCTCTCTCACTCACTCTATCTCCATCTCTATCTCTATCTCTATACCTATCTCTATCTCTCTATCTCTCTATCTCTCTAATTCTCTATCTCTATCTCTATCTCCATCTCCATCTCTATCTCTATACCTATCTCTATCTCTATCCATCTCTCTCTCACTCTCGCTCTCTCTCCCTATTCCCAGTTCTTTCTCTTTCTAGTATCTCAAGTTTTCCCACCCGTCTGGCAACACCTTTTGCCCATGCTACAGGGTATACAAATACTATTTGTAATTACGCTCAATTTAATATGAATGCTGACAGCGCGAGCCTGCAAAATTCAACTAATCTATTGACAAAATGAAATATTAATTGCCGCCTGTGACTTTTGTGGCTAATTGCTTGATACGTTCACGTATCTCACATTGCGC